GTCGCGGCAACAGCGCATTTCGAAGACATATTGGCTCAGTGCTCATCATGGCGGCTCCGGTCGTTGACGGTGCGAAGGAAGGATCAACTCGGGCGTTTCTTGGAGAGCCTGCCAGCTTACCTTCTCCACACGGTGTCATATTTACTCACGCGGAAGCCGGCGCTGCCGTCTGTGCGCAAAAATGTGGATGGGTAAGTAGGTAGGTAGCATCACATGCGAATAACGAACACCGGTCACCAGGGAGACTCTCCAACCTAAGCCAGACCCGCAGACCACACAGGTTACCCTATCACATTCAAATCAGTGTGCTTGAGCAAACGGACTACATCTCCCACGACTCGAGCTGATCGCGAGCGTAATACGTGGATCTCGAGGGCCGGGTTTCAATTTACTACCTTCCTAAACAACGTGTATGTAGTCGTATCAGAACACAACAATATATGTCAACCCGACTGGTCTGAATCATAATCCGAGTTCGAGTGCGTATCTGACTCTTCCTCCAGGGGGGCAATTCCACTGAACAGTTTCTTCGCGAAAAGCCGTCGAAAACATCTCGTACGGTGCAGTGTCTGAGTCGGAGTTGACCAGATTCTCGGTCCGTTGCGGATAGCCACTGGGGCAGCGTGCAGAGAGAGCTGGAGCGGGTCCGCGCCCAGGAAAGGTTCGAACATCACGATGCTCTCCGGCGCTGGTAGGGTCAATGCGGTGAGGAGCCGCCCCATGCTTAGAGAGTCCGTTTCGCCACTGGATGGGAGAAGGCCGAAGGCGCGCAGGTTCAGAAGGTGCCGAATCGAGGAGAGGGAGGGGCGGGGCGGGTCGACTACTATCGAAGAAACCCCAAACACTGTTAAATGATTTTTTTCCGGGAGGGGTGGCGGTTTCGGGTCGTATAAAGGTGTAGTAAGCGTGGTAATTTGGGGCCAGGGTAGCGTTATGGACAAGGGGTTGAAACAGAAGGAGACTGGCACTGCAACGGGTGAAGTGTAGTCCGAGGCATCGCTTGGACCCAGAAACGCGGTGTGGAGGAGCAGCATGTGGCCTTCGTTATAGTCAAGCTCGTTGTACGGAAGAAATAGATGCACCTCTTCCCAACGGTGACCATGGCGCCGGAGCGCTTCAACAAATGAGGCGATAGAGTTGCTGATATCTGGAGAGTGCACAATTTGAATTTGAGAGAGAGTGGACACCTTCGGAACGCTGTGACCACAACTGTGGCAGACGAAGTTGGTCCCCGTATCAACGAGCAGTGAAGAAATTAAGCTCAATAGCTTTCCGCAGTGCAGGCGCAGACAATGCCACATCCCGCCAGTGGCCGGATATACGACATAGAAATGATGGGGATAGTGAGCCAAAAACCTGTGAGCGCCTCGAGTAAGGAGGGAGGAATTAGATGAATATTTCTAATGTGATCTCGGCCCGCAACGTCAAAACGGGGTATTACTATCTGTAGGTGGCAAGATCTTCGTGGCATTTATCGCGCATAATACGCAAGACTTCAGTTGCGTCGATTTCAATGTCCACCACCGGGATACGGGCGCGAGTGGCGGTTCGCACAGCTTTCGATTCTCCTGCGGTCAAATCTCGAGCGACCATCTAAAAAACATTCATGAAATTCGACTGTTGTTGGTATCAAAGAGCCACGTACCGCCAAACCATCGGCAGGCAGTTTTCAGCGACTAAATAGAAAGCTTGCCCCTCCAGTGCTCTCCAACTTCTTGGAGGTCTTTGTGGCGGGGGAAGGCAAGTGCCGAAAGTCACACGTGCCATGACGTGTCATGCACGGGACTTCCGAGTCGGACCTTCTCTCGCTCTCAGCTCTCACTACCAATGCCATGATAAAGATTACCTCGACAATCCCGAGAGGTCTCAGTAGATCGAGGTCAAGAATGACCTTGAAACGATGTGCACACAGTGGCTGCACGCCTGCGCACATTCAAGAATCTCAGGGTGACTTAAACGTCGAACGGTACTGCGCCTTGAACTCATTTTAAATCGACTGAGATCCTTTTGTGGTTATATGACTCATTCCCCCAGATACACGTCTGCGGGATCAATATCAAATTGTCAAACCCTCAGGCTGCCGCTGGTTTCCCGCACTGAAACAATCAGTTGAACCGGTGCCGTCACAAGCGGACGGTCAAAGAGACTACTATCGTAAACTACCGCCTTGCGCCGAAAAATGCTGTAAGGTTGCCTAGTCCGCCGATCCTTTGACCAGCTTAGGAGTGTTTCTTCTGAATCAGCTCTCTCTATTCACCTTCATGTCGCTAGATGCGATGCTCGGCGGTGTCTTTTGGCGCACGGGCAGGCGCTGCCTGGATCGTCGATGACTCGATACATCCTTGGCGACGTTTTCTATGCAAATTACTGGCAGTCACAGCGATATAAGAGGGCCATTTGCTCCTCATGCTGCCATCAATACTTACTTTCTATCCACACTAATGAAGTCCGCACTCGCACTTATCGTCCTTGCATCGTTATTCCTCTCCTCGGTCGTCTCTGCGTTCCCTATCATTATTAATCATGATCCAACCCTTGGTGAGTTCGTCTCGCCCAACGAGCTAATAAAGCGCAGCTGACTTGACTATGCTAGTATCCCGCGCTGACATTCAACACGTACCGTTTTATTCGAAGTCCAAGGAGTAACTGACTCTCGAGTTGGGATCGAAAACCTTTACTGATTAATTCACAGAGTCGAGGAGGTCGATACCGCAACATTCAACGACTTGGCGGATGCGTCTGGCAAACGTTAGTCCACATTTCATTTTTTTATCCATATGCATGCTGACTTGACTATCGTTTGCCAGAATCGCGTGCTGACATTCAACACGTACCGTTTGATTGGAAGTCTAAGGAGTAACTGATTCTTGACTTGGGATCGCCAACTTTTACTGAATATAATTCACAGAGACGAGGCTGATACGGTAAAGATCAATGACTTGGCGGATGAAGGACGAGATGTTTCCAGCAAACGTTAGTCCACATTTCATCTTTATTACCCCTGTGCATGCCAACTTGACTCTCGTTTGCCAGAATCCCCCGCTGACATATCACACGTACCGTTCTATTGGAAGTCTAAGGAGTAACTGATTTTTGACTTGGGATCGACAATATTTACTGATTAATTCACAGAGTCGAGGATACCGTAGCAACCAACGGCTTGGCGGATGAAGGACTAGATACATCTGGCAAACGTTAGTCCGCATTCCTCCTTTCTTATCCGTATGCATGCTGACTCACGAAAAAATAGGCCACATACCGTTCTCCTGGCTGCATAATTCTGAAGAGTAATATATTCATATTCATTCTTTCGACGGATATCTGATATTGACTGACCGACAGGAAGGACAAGGTCGAGCCCATCAATTAATTTTACCTACCTACCAAAGATAATGCCGAATGGTGACCACTTTAATTTGGTGAGTGTGTTCGGGACTCTTAGAGGACATGCTCAATCGTCTAATCATCTGCGCAGCGTGTGAACCAACACGCACAAAACTTTTGCTTCATATTATACATATAATACAGTACATTACTCTTTCGTACTCATTATGATTTACTTGTAAGAACAGAAATCGGACTCTATTTTACATACACATAATACACCGCTCTCCTAGATTACAGTTGCGGTTGGGAACTGACTTTCGGGACAAATGAAGTAGGTATGATGGTCTCGAGCGTGTTAATGGCCTGAAATCACAGCCCTGGTACAATAGTATCCACTCTCAGGTCTCGTTTCGTCCTAAAACCATTCCATCATGTCAAAATTCAATGTGGGGCACGCCGTACCCATAGGCGTTTCTGCACTTCGAGACCGTTTTCGCTAAGTGAGAGGTTGCTCTCCCTTTTAGTGCTTGCCAAATATTTACCGTGTGGAGGTAGCCGTTCGAAATTGGAGCACTACAAATTTCATCGATCGACGAGCGGGAGGGAAGGCAAGAGGCCGTATTGATGGAGCGCTGGATGGACAATTGCGCGGGGAGACGCATTTGCGCCGGAATGGCGCTGCCCGAACGTGGGACGCGAGGATCTAAAAAATGCGGGTCCGGTCGGTCAAGTGAGAATTCGGAATTATTTAAACGAGGATGGGTAGGGATATGTGCTGTGCGAATTGTCCGGAAGGTGTGCGCACGTACAACGATACATCCTCGGCCGTCCGCAGAACGCGGCAGACAGCAAGCAGCCGCGATGGTTTGCTAAGAAGAGGTACGGAGCGAGGAGGTATACGAACCACGGGGACGTACCGCAGACCTACCTGCTATCTCTCTCGCCAACTTCTCATTATCTTTCTGGAGAGTCGAGTCGAGTCGGAAGACGGGTTTGGATGAGGTGCGAGAACATCACCTACATAACACGGCGCGTAGCGGTTCGGTTTACAGTAAAAGACAGGAATGAGTCGGAACCAACGGCGAATCGACAGGAGCGCGTAAATGCGAAGAATCGAGGGATGGAAGATCTTGGCAACGCCCCTTGGCCTCCCCCACTCTGACACCACGTGACCTTATCGGCGCGCGTGGGTTCGAGTCAGGGCAGCGACGTTCTTTTCGACCCTCCTTTTTATATGATGTATATATTCTGTACATAGTGGAGTTTGCTCTCTCCAGCCCTTAATAATTTCCTTGACATCAATAGATATTTTGGAGTATAACAGCAGTGAGTGGAGGGAAAAAAACCCTCAGAGTAGTCCTTGTGCGTCAAATTTGACTCAAAATCTCCTACTGAACTTAACTGAAGCCTAAACACCGTAGGTCAGGCCAAAAATGGGCCACGGGAAGGAAATTTGAATTTTTGGCCTCAAAACTCGGTCCGCAATAGAGTAAATCAGCTGTTTGGAGGTCAACTGATAGAGTAAATCAGTTCAAGATCCCAGAAAAAAAGCGGACCTAGTAGGAGGGACAGACGGCCTGCTGATACCGGGAGTTGGCGCTCCCGAACTCCTCGAAAGTAGGGCATAGGCGGGGCGGAGGGTTAAAAAAGGACAGGGGCGAAGAAAAAAAATCCGTCAAACGGGATCGAACCTGCGCCGAAGGCGTTGCAAGCCGCAGTCGTAACCACTAGAGTACCGAGTCCATGAAAGATTACCCTCCGAGCTCTAAATGTGGTTACCCGCCGGCGTTTTCCACGACCATCAGGCAGATTTGATTAGATATGCCTTATAAGGAAATGTCAGAGTGGGGGAGGCGTGGGCCAGCTGATCTTGGCGGATGGGGGCGACGATTGGCAGCGGGAGAGGATGCAGTGGGGATAGGTGTAAAAACACTGGTGGCTTGCATTGGCAAGTACAAGGACTTGAACCAAGGATGTGAGAAGCCAAGTCGACGGCTTAGGCAAGAATCGCTCCGAGAACAACGGATCTTTTTGTATTGGCACGTGTACACGTTGTCTCTGTTCCTCAGAATCCATCCAGACACTGAAGTAGTCTTCGACTCCTCGACTCCTTTCTGCTGCCAATTCTGATGAAACGCAGCGAGGAATTGTGGCTTTCTGATGGCGACCTCATCATACAGGCACAAAATGTCTCGTTCCGCATTCATGCAAATGCTCTGGCCGAGAATTCCACGGTTTTTGCAGACATGATGGAATTTCCACAGAATATCGGGGACGGCGCTGAAGACAAGGTAGACGGTGTTGCGGTAGTGCGCCTGTTCGATAGCGATGCCGACGCGGCGATTTTCCTGAAAGCGATTTTCGACGACAGGTGCGTCGGGATTTAGTCTCATCTGGAAACTATTCTGGACTCATTCGGCGCATCCTTTCTTAGTTTCTTTCTTCCACCACCATCACCGACATCCATCACCCTCCTCCTCGACGTCTTGCGGCTAAGCAACAAATACGACGCCCAACCGCTCTTCCGCCGCGCACTCCTCCATCTCGAGGCACTCTACCCGACCACGTTGGTAGCTTTTCGCGCAATACCCGAGCCTCCGCACATCACACACCCCGACGGCCCGCTCGCGTTCCATCTCGCCGTCCTCGCCGCCGCCACTGCGTACGACGCACACTGGCTCTTCCCCGCGCTCCTCTACGAGATCGCGTGCCACCCCCTGCGCGACATCCTCGCCGCCGCATGGGACGCCCTACCCGGACCCGCGCAGCACCGCATCCTCACGACACACACCGCGCGCCTCGAACGCCTCCGTGTCGTCAACCGCATCAAGTTCTACGACCCGTCCGCGCTCGGCTGCGACTGGCGCGAGGGTTGTCCATACAACGCCCACGGCGCCGTCGTGGATCTCGTCACACTCATGGCGAGCGACGACAAAGTCGTGGACGCGCTGCGGTATTGGACGCCGGAGGTGCGAGTGGAGTATAAAGACACGCGCTGTGGGGAGTGCCTGTACAATTTCGAGGGCGACATTGAGGCGGATGAGAAGAAGGTCTGGGAGGGGTTACCCGCGACTATTGGATTCGCAGGGTGGGACGAGGTGATGGGGATGAGGGCACGAGTTATGGATGCAGGCGCGTAGACGTTATGTTAACCGCGGCTGATTAGCTGGATGTCCAGATTAAACTTGGGGCGGATATTGCGCAGTACACCATCTACGCATAGAACATTTACAGGCAGAACCAATTGAAGTTCAGAGAGGCCGTCCGAATGACGCCATACGGGCGAACACTTTCCACAGGACTTGTACAATCGAGCTCTACAGAGGAGACAGTTAAACATGACACCCACAAAACGAGCCTGTGCGTAACAAGATCAGCCCTCCAAGACGCGCCCGATTCCGATAATTGAATCATAATTGAATCTGTTAACCCTCAACGGCGGGTACTACGCTGGCTTTTTCGTACCCCACAGAGGTGAGGTTGGGGAAGGAGATTACAGCTATTTGCGGAACATAAGGCGCGGATCATTTTTTTTCTAAAAAAGCACTTTTCACTAATGCCCCTCTAACTCACTCAATTCTTCCCCAAATGTCTTCAAACCTGGACCAAACAATGGGAAATAACTTTCTGCAGTGCTTAGGGTATGTATGATATTTATTTTACCTGACCGACATGTCCAAATGGGGCAACAGACAGTTTTCAGCTGTTGTCCCTCTATCCGTGAAGATAATGCCCAAGATCTCTTGAGAATCCATGAATGGCTTCTCAATGAGATATTACATTGCTTAGGGTGCATTTTACTGCTATATTTTGAGGTATAGGGTATGAAATATCACTCAAATTTAACATATATTTGAAATCCTCATAGATCACCATAGTAAAACAGATCTGCAGATTTTCTACCATCCTAAGCAATGTGTTATATATCCATGAGTTTTCCCAAGGCATAATTTGCGGAAACTGAAGGATAATGCTCATGATACAGGGGCAATAGCTGAAAACTGTCTGTTGCCCCATTTGGACATGTCAGTTGACTAAAAGAAATATACCACATACCCTAAGCACTGCAGAAAGTTATTTCCCGTTGTTTGGTCTAGGTTTGAAGACATTTGGGGAAGAATTGAGTGAGTTAGAGGGGCATTAGTGAAAAGTGCTTTTTTTAGAAAAAAAATGATCCGCGCCTTATGTTCCGCAAATAGCTGTAAGAGCGAGTCGATTTCTTCCCATCGGTGGTCATGATCATCATCATGAAGGTCGTATTTGTCGGGATCCTGAATCGAGAGAAGATAACCTCGGTGAGAGCGGGCGCTGTGAGCAGCCGCAGGATAAGCAGTATCGCACCAATCGCCCCCCGCACAGATGTCTCGAAACGGAGTGTCGAGAGGTGGGTGAGTGATACTGTGTGGTCCTGCGTCGTCCTGTCCCACACGCTCGACCAGTCTTTCAAAGTGGTTCAGCGGATCGTACGATGGGAAATAGAGTCAGACGGGAGTTTCTCACGTGTAAATCTGAGGTCCAGCTGCACGAGAGAGGCTGCGCAGAGTTCCACGAAGTCAATCGTCATCGATAGGACGTCGCTCACGGTGATGCGAAGATGGCGTAGGTGTGACAACGCTATCAGCTGCGCTCCTGCAAGCGGGAAGAATGAGGGGAGCAAATCGTTCCCCGAAGATGGCGCCAGGTCGAGAGAAAAAACTCTGAATGGGTAGTGCTCAGACGACCGGCTAAAAATGATGTAACCCGCAGGTACCAGCAAGTTCGAGAATCATAGTTTCTGGAGTGTGTTCCCGGGATGCGGAGTCGACAAAATCGTGAAGAAGGATTTTACATTGGGAACGCGGAGTCCAACAACTTCGACGGACTTGAGGGATGGCGCGAGGATCCACAAACGCATCGTCTGTGTCAGAATAGGACTCCACTGCGAGTTTGTCCCCGCTCGGAGAGTGAAGGTGCACAGTTGGGAGAGTCGTTGGGCGACGGGAACCAAAGTAGATGATTTCGCGATCCAGTACATGGCGGCATCGGACTGTCCGGCTTCCGATAGCACGAGTGCCTTTACGTGTCGCGCCAAGCTCGGATTACTATGGAGAATCGCCCATAGGAGATCGCAGCGCGTGGAGATGAAAGGATTTAGATTTTTTTGGGAACGTGTATCCGACCTGAGACTGCCAGCATGAGGGGAGTAAAGGTGGGCCTCTGAGAACAAGTGCACGCGGCTCCGCACGAGGAATTGTTTTCCCGCTGCGCCGCACGCGGCCAAGGTTCGAGGGTCATCTTTGTTAGCATCCACGACGGTTTCCAGGACTTCGGTGGGCAGGGTGGTTGGCCGCATCGCAGAGAGTCTCAAAGAAAGACTCGGGAGTACTAGAGTCGGAGGAGCACCCGAAGCAGAGCCACGTGGCGCGGGCCGGTGATCCGATGCGTCTCTCCTACAGTCTACCCTCGACACCACGAAGTTTCCTATACCTAAATCACATTTGTAAGGTTGAAGAGCTGGGTAGATACAAATTCTCAAACGTTCCCATCGGCTGATTAGTAATTACTCTCCAGAACATTTTTCTCAGACGATCGCAGCAAAGCTGCGGCAGACCGGCAGTGATAGGAGCAGCGATAGGAGCTGGGCCTCACTATTTCGCGGAAATATAAACCCTCCTGTTCATCTATCATTCCCCTTCGTTTTCCTTCCACATCCAGAAACCTCGAGATGTGCCTCCGGTGGTTTGGCCACCAATGCTGGAACCACAACTCGGATCTATCCATCCTTTTTCCACTCTCAGAAACGTGCATGGCGCTGGAAGAGTACCTTGAGCTCTTCCTCCTCTCCATCAAGAATGCGCCAAAGATAACGAAGACGTCAATACTTTCCGTCGCCTACTGCCGCACCCGCGGCACGGCGTCATATCCATTCCTCGTCGTCTACCTCCAATACCCAGTGCTTCGCCGGTTCCCAGTCCGGCTGAAACTCCAAGGTTTCGATGGACCTGCCACAATTCAGGTGGTCGGCAGGATACCCAGCTACGACACTCCGGGGGAAGGGTCTACCTTCTCCACTGCGTTCGCTGGCGAGACTTTGATGGAACTGGTTGGCACCTGGCGGTACGATGTGCTTCACACAATGACGTTCCAGCAGCGTCTCAACGATGAAGCGCGATTTGAACCCAGCATTGTCGATCTGCTGACAGTTGCGCTCCTCTCGGCTCAATACGACCACACGCGGAAAGAATACCCCGTAACACTGTTTTTGGCGCTAAAAAACTTGTTCAACGGCGTCATCACCAGTCACCGCAAAGCACATCCTCTGCCAGCCGATATTTCGCATTTGAAATGTGCGGTCATTGACGCGTTCCACACTCGGCGGCAGTGCATGCAGGAAGAAATAGACCGCTGGAACGGACACCGCGATTATGTATGTGGGATTTGAATCATTGCACTTAACTCAAGGCTGAGTTTTCCGTGTCTCGATTCAGATCGATGCAACCCAGACATTGGAGCTTCGAGCAGCGAATGCCAAGCTTTGGGAGCGCACGGCGCTTTTGCAGGAGGAGGTTTTTCGCCTCAAGCTGGAGGCCTCGATCGATGCAACCGAGGCATTGCGGCTTCGAGCAGGGAACGCCGAGCTTTGGGCGCACACGGCGTTTTTGCAGGAAGAGGTGTGTCGCCTCAATCTGGAGGCCTCATTGCCAGCCAGAGTCTCCGCGGATGCCAACGAAACCATTTGTGATAGTCTTTGTGACGTATAGTA